TAACATCATCCACATTTCGTTTACTTTGATTTCCTACCGTATTGAAGAGAAATTAAGAGGTACGTTGATCTGCTAGTCGCGGGTCTATCATGCCGAGAACTCTGCTCATGTGTTTGCATAATGATGCATTTAAAAGTTAACGACCAAACAAATCATTATAAAAGTTCACAGTGTTGCTGCAGATGAAATATAACGTGGATAACATTAAATGTATATTTTTTCATCAGGTTAGACATTGATTATTTATCACTCAAATCCATGTATCTACCTGTCCGTTGGTCGCGTATATCCGCCATGTTTGTAGTTTTTAACACTTTTAATGCGTGTTTGTAGTTCTAATTGAATACTCGTCCACCGCGCAATGTGTTGTGGGCAATATTAGCCGTTAGAGTGTGCATCGATCTGCACTTCGAATAGATTCCATCCGGGAATCTCTGGCATACTTTTTTAAACATACTATGATTTGGGACATACTAATTCTATTTTCGAATACTATTTAGGACGGATAGTATGCGAATTGGGATGCAGCAACAGAGTTGCGACACTCCCATAGGCTTCTATAGGAACTGAGGAATGCGGAAGTAAAGCGTGTCATGGAGCAGCCAATAGTTCCAAACAACCAATAGCTCCAGTAGTGAAGCCCATTCATTTCAGTGCTTCTCAAGCACACTCGCCAGAAAGTTGAGGAAATTACAGCAGTTTTTGGCATTTTAATGCATTAGTTTACCTCTCAGAAATCTGGCCAGTAGTTGTATTTTATGAAACGCATTATAGTTCATGTTTAGTTTTAGATGATAGGCAGTTATGCTATATTTGCAGTTAGATAACGTGAGAAACACCTTAATAGCGATCATAACCAGATGCTAGTTGTCATATTTTTAAGTTTTTAGTCTTTCTGCAATCTTTCTCTCCCTGTAGGAAGTTGAATGAGTTTCAGTGAAGACTGCCCATTAAAGGAATACAAGAAAGAGTTTCCCTGAATGCAGTTTGTTGCCTTGTGTTTTTTTTAAACGTAATTAAAAATTTTTATTGGGTTAAATTCCGTATTCGCTGGCCTTTTTTAATGTCATAAAATAATACTGGGATGTGAGTAATCTTTTTAAATTCAACGTTTAAAAAAAAGCAAACCGTATAAACATTTGAGTGTTTGATAATGTCTAAATATACAATGCAAAACATAAAATAAATAAATAAAGCTATTATGACCGGTAAATCTCTTTACAGCAACTAGAGTAGAGCTAAATACAGTGGTGTGAAATACAGTGGTCCTGTTTTTTTAATTTTTTGCATATTTGTCACACTTAAAAGATTCAGATCATCAAACTAATTTTAATATTACACAAAGATAATGTAAGTAAATACAAAATGCACTTTTTAAATGATTATTTATTTTATTAAGGGAAAAAAGCTGTCCAAACCTGCCTGGCCCTACGTGAAAAAGTGTTTGCCCCCTAAATCTAATAACTGGTTGTGCTACGCTTTGCAGCAACAACTGCAATCAAGTGTTTGCGATAACTGGCAATGAGTCTTTCACATCGCTGTGGAGGAATTTTGGCCCACTCTTCTTTGCAGAATTGTTTCAATTCAGGCAGGCTATATTTATTAAACAGCCATACTGGCATCTAGTGGTTAAACCATGGCATTACATAGGGATGTTATTTTTCTGGCCACCAAACGCCTTTAATTTGCCTCTTTGCACTGGAATTTAAAAACATTTTCTCTATTTTCACCCTAAATATTATGCTAATTGTAATATAAATAATAAGCATATTAGATAAAATATTAATGCTGTCTATTCATCACTCCCCAAAATAAAATGCAATTGTGAAACGTAGTCAGCGTAGTTATCAATACACAATCAATGCACATGATGTGTTAATAATCACTAGAAATGCTGCAAATATAGTGAAACTGCTGTCTATCCTACTTAAACCCATTCAAACACATTGACAGCGCGGAGTTGTTTGGAACTATTGAGAGCTCCATGAACCACGTGACCGCGTGGCGGTGAGATCAAAGCGTGTCGCAACTCTGTTTCTCAACGGCTCTGACAGCACCGAGTTGAACGTCACGTGTTGTCATCTCGGAATTACGGTAATTACGACATGGCATGAATGCAGCATAACTCAAATGTGTGACTATGCTGGTCATGTGACACATATCAGCGCCCATGAGGGGGCGACCCGCTCCCAGTGTTGCCAACTTAGCAATTTTGTTGCTAAATTTTGCAACTTTTCAGACTACTCTAGCAACTTTTTATTCCAAAAGCACCTAGCAACAAATTTAGCTATTTTTAAATTTTATTTGGCTACTTTTAGCAACTTTTGATAAGTGGCTCAAACAATAAAAAGGCACACATTTTCCATCTATATTTCACAAAAAGAGGAAACCAACGATGCCTAGCAGAACACACATCACGTGAATTAAGTTACTGCTATTTGCAATTGTTCAATTTGATAATAATAATAATAATTTAATAATTGTTCAATTGTTCAGAATGTGTAGTTTTACTAGTTTACTAATAAAAAAAACTTGTAATCGTTCAAAAATGTGTAAGTGTTCAACAATTCAATGTTGCATATAAAAAAAGGTTATTTATATTTTAACATTATATTATGCATTTATATTATTTTACGAACAAATCTAAATTAACATATAAAAATATATATTTTTTAATGTAGTGACAATTTTGCGTCATGATTACTTAATGACGTCATCACGCAATGACATCACAACATCATTTAGCAACTTTTAGCAACAAATCGACCTTCCTTTAGCAGCTTCCCCTGAAAATTAGTTGGCAACACTGCCCGCTCCATGTAGAATAAAACAGCCTTTTCAACAAGGTTGCTGAATCTAGAATCATCTCACATGAGTGTTGCCTACATCCTAAACAAAATTTCACAAAATTAAAACGTTTTACACAAATGAATATCGAGTTCACTTTAAAACCAAGGTTGTTTTGAAGTCCATCATCCATAGATTAACTTGTCCCACTGAAGTTACTACTAAAACCAAACTTTAATTAGCCAAGTTAATCTCGCTCGAGATCAAATAACAGGTTATATGACTCAATACCCAAAGTTTCTTAACATGTCAGTGTTTTCGATTCGAATCGCTGTCTGTATACTAAGTACAAGCAGTATATACTGTACAATGAACACACTGTAAGTAGCACCGCTTTTAAGCCAAAATCTCATTTGACATAATTTCCAGATGACTTACCGGACTGCTCTCACTAAGAAATACAGAACTCCGATGACCGTGATCCCGATCAGAACATACAGAGCCCTGTTTATCATCGCGCCGTCCAGATTGAAGCCCATTTTTGAGTTGGCGGTGGTGTTATTTTTGTGAGACACTTCTGTACTGTTGCTGATGCTGGAAGTGTTCTTGAGTGCGGGTGGTTTAGTGGTGCTGGGCTTAATGCTCCCGTCATCGGCGAAAGAAACAGCCCACAAAGTCAAAACCAGAGGCAGAAGTCTTAAATGTGTCATTGTAGCCTGAGTTCGTGCTTTTTAAAGGCAAAAGAAAACCTACACAGTACACACAAATATGAAGTTGGCTTTAACGACTGAATCCAGTTCCTCTTCCTGATTGAAGACGACAGCACGCGTAGTTACGGTAAATTGTGTCCTGAGGGGAATCAACAACGAGATCAGGTTCCCCTCTGAGAGCACGAGCGCATCTTACTCTTCTTCTTTCTTTTACTGGCACCCGCACTTAACAGTGCATTACTGCCATCATCAGGTAGCTTGGATCAGAAACATTTCCTCTATCTCTTAACATTTTCTAATGTTCTTCCCCACAATGTGCACATCTCTTTTTGGCTCTGCATACACTTGCAATATGACCATATCTCTGGCAGTTATAACATCTCAGTGGAGCACGCACATATTCTCTCACCTTAAAGCTAACATATCCAATCATCACTTTACTTGGTAACATTCCACTACTTTCAAAGCGCAACATTACAGAAAGACTTTCTTCCTTATTACCTTCCCTATTCCTTTGCAATCGCTTTGCTTCAATTACATTTCCTCCTTTTATATTCCTCTTCACCCCTGTAATTACTCCGCATAGCCATGGTTTTCCACCCGTTTGCTTACAACTTGAAATCTCGTTTACACACAGCCTTCATTTTCATCACTTTATCCCTCTGTTCCTCATTATCACATATCACCATCAATGCTCCATCCTGAAGTACTCTTGCACATTTAATCTCTCCTGATTGTTTCCTCAACTCATTTGTTAATTCAATTGGGTTTACTCCTTTTACTCCATGCCCCTCTAAATCTCACAATCATTTTTATTTCCTCTCTCCTTCCACTTATTAATTCCCTTTCACTATCCTCATCTATAATTACTGACTCCTCTTCATTATCTTTCTTCCTCTTTTTATTTGTTTTTCCTACACTTTTTATTCTCCCTCCTTCTACCTGTGACCAACCCGTCTCCATTTCATCTTCAATCTCAGAATCATCAATCCTATCTTTTGTTTCTGATCCAACTTCCTCTTTTTCCCCACGATTTCCCCATCTTTTTCTTCTTCTTAATAGTATAACTTCTATGCTTATCAAAACTCAGTATGAGTTATTTGAATCACACTCAAAACTTTTGTTGCTCCGATCTGAATACACGCTGCTTCCAAAATGGCGATCGTACTCCCTCTCCCGCATCTTGCTCTTCTTTTACAGAGGGTATTTAAAACACAATGTCGGTTGTATTTTGAAAATATGGCTACAGTGAGCATTTTGATGACAGAATCATACTCCACGCAAATACGTCAAACAAAACGGTAGCTACTTCAACGGCTCTGGCTACTAGCTACTCTAGTCCGTAGTAAAACACAACGCGAGCGTTCCCACGAGGAGCTGTGAACGTTATGTCCAAACGCTCGCGTACTTGCGTTTGCCTAATATATGTTTCTGTGATTTCTGTAAGTCACGTGTAGAAGCATTACAGCTGTTACACAGTGAATGAACGTCATGGACACAGACTTGAGTAAACAAATATTTACTGAAGGCAAAAAGTACAACTAGGAATGTCGTGAAGAACAAGATAAAGACTGAAAACAGTGTAATCCTGATTTTATATTGAACTATATTTTTGCATGACGATGGCCCATAGCTGTAATCAAAATATACATGTTTTAACGGATATAAAAACCCATAACTTTTTTAACATTGTGATACAAAAATAGTATTTACACCTCATCTGTCCACTATAAGAAAAAGCACTTTATAATCTAAGGCAGATGTTGTATATTGAGGGGTTTTAATGTTGTGCAAGGATGCATAATCAGGTTTTATCCAGCCACTGTTAAGAATCAACGATATACTTTTTTTTTCTATATCCAAGGAGCATCTGGAAATTGCTGGGAATACAATATAAACAAAGAAGATTAGATTTTTTGTATATTATCTGGTCCGAGTGCCAAATTTAGGCCATCATCGGGCCTTTATAAAAATTGTGAATGCTAATGCAAATGAATGTCCAAACTGAATGGTCTCCTCGGAGTGAACCAAGACATTATATTAAAAAAGTCACTTGTCAGATTAAAACAAATAAAAGGCCCAACTCATTTTACAGAGGTCACTAAAGGCCATCGTGGCTGATCTGTTAAGACTAGCATTATGTGATGTGCACAATTCAGCAGGTGTGCTGATTATCAATCATATCTGGCGGCCGTCCCAATTCACCTGAACTGTTTCCATCACACTGTTATCTACAGAGAAGCAGCCGTACGCCGCTCTGAGAGGACATGTTTGTACACGCCGTTTGTCATGAGGCTAAAAGGTGTCAGGATGTCCCTTACGAAGGTACACGGAGGAAAGGCTTTGGTATCAAGCTGTAGTATACACACAGGTTCCTGGATACATAAAATACATGGGGCATTTAAGTAGAATAGCTTAAATAATCTACTATCTCACACAATAACATGAAGCCCGATGCTAAACATCTACACAAAATACAGGACAAACAGTAAACGGCCAGCGGTTAATGCTCCGCTGACCACAGCCAACATGCAATGGCCCACAGTATGCAAACAATAAAAATCTAGACAACACTATTGGATTTATACACAAACGATTGCATAAATTTGAAGGAGGAAAATGCCTATAAACATTCTATGTCTAAAGATACAGTATAAATGCTAATGCTAGAGGATATGATGAGTACAACCCTACTGGGAGATACGTAACACAAGAGGCGCAGAGTTTTAGGCCTGTACCATCAGCCTGATGAAATTACCCATGTCTCACAGGAGCATAAATGTTTGGTCCTGAGGGCACGAAATGGACTGTAAACTACAGATTTGCAAACATTAGTTGCAGATGTTTGACTGAGGTTCTGGAGAACTGAAGCAGTAAGGCACAAATGGTACAAATGGAATCAAAGGCCTGTAAGTGGTTCATCTCTGCTTCTACAGAAATCAAGTCTTAAATAGGCTGAAAGTGACCGATGGAGGGATGCATACAGTTGATGAACTTCTCGGCCCAACTAATAATACAGCTGTTCTAAAACCTTGAAAAAATATATGTATGTAAATAATCACTAAAATGCCTCAAATAAAATAATGGAATGATGGAAGTGAGCTTTGTGATTAAGACTCATTATGGTTTAAAATGACTGGCCACTCCAGTCTTTTCTAGACTATATTTCTCTCAAATGATGGACTTGGAGAAGGAAACCCTAAGATGGTGGTTTTCTCCGAGATCATGGTTGTGGAACTGGATAAGGGACTCGATCGCTTCCTCCACCGAACCCATCTGAATCAGAGCCATCTTGCGATCCTTCCTGAAAGTTGAGGAATTCGTTAGTATTTCTTGCGGATACACTGATATAGAATGTATGTGCTGACGATAATCATTAATCAACAGATTGTTGTGGCCAAAAATAGGATTTTAACTCAAAATGACCAGGTAACAAATTATTTAAAAACCACTGACTAAATACTAAAAACCTTCACTTACTAAATTAAACTAATAATAAAATCTAAACTAAATAATAATAATAAAAACAGCTTAGAATGTAGACTTCATAGTGCATATAGGTGATCTGCCTTGTAACAGGTTTTGTTTTTATTTGCTGACAAATCAAAGTGTTCCATTTTAAGAAACAATTTATGAAATGACAATAATCAAAAGGCAAAAATGACAGTGAAGAATGACACAACAGCCTAAGATGTCCAGAAATTCACATTTTCGATATAGAAATGTTGCCAGATAACAATATATTAAATAATAATAAATTAATAATGATAATAATAAATTATTTAAAAATAATACATTTAATTCAGAAATAAATCTATATAATACTCAGTACAGAAATTAATAAACAATTTTGTTTTAACAAAGTAGTATAGATTTTACTATACTAAAGCAAAAAATTAAATACTTTGAACATTATAAGTGAAATGTTTACAAATATGTGTGTAATGTGGGCGAAAAGAACACACACATTATTGGTTACTGGCTGTGTTTCCACTACCAGTATCAATAATTTAAAATGACTGTTATACTACATAAATGTCAGAGTATGATAATGTCACAGCTGCACACACTTACTGAAAGAACTTGAAGTTCTTGACCAGAGCACCATTGCTAGCAAAGAGCAGCTTGAGTTCATCTTCGACAACCGCGGGTCTAAAACGGAGAAAGTTATAGGTGAGATTTGCGTTTTTAAAGTCACAGAAAAACAAGAAGCGGATGTGTATAAACTCACGGGATGTTAGACAGGTGCAGGGTAGATGAGGGAGGAAAGATGTTGGAGTAGTTTTTGGAGCCTGGCTTCTTGAAGCGATGGAGAGGAGAGCTGCTGTAGTCTTTGGTGAGACCCTGGTCCTCATGTCCCTCCCGTGGCATCTGGACAGTTGTGTGTTTGGACAGCGTGATGCGCAGGGGCCTGCCGTATAACTTCTGTCCGTTTAGATGACTCATTGCTGAAATATAAATGTTTATCTGTAAATAAATACTGAACTACAAAACAAATGAAATATAAAGTATGCATCGTTCTGCACCCTAGTTCCCCATTACATCTATCAGTATACTGTGAAAACAAATTTGGGCGCTAGCAACTGCTAAACACTGGGACACTTATGACTAAGTCTGTGCATTAAAGCACAGCTAATATTATCTAATATCAACAACACTGCTGTAAAACACCGCATGGCCAATAGCCTTCTGCTAACCTTTATTTGTTGATTGTGAATCATCGTTGTAGTGGTTATAAAAGTACACTGTGATTATGGAATATGAACTTATCCATTTCTGATGAAAGACTAAAGACATTACAACACTTCCAATAAGTGAATATAATGAGTAGTCAGTTATTGCAGAGTTGATCGGCGTCAGTCACATTTTTTTGAAAGAAATTAATACTTTTATTCAGCAAGGATGCACTAAATTGATCAAAAGTGACAGTAAAGTTGTTACAAATAAATATACAAATAACAAAAATAAATGCTGTTCTTTTGAACTTTCTATACATCAAAGAATATTGAACAAAATAAGCAGCGCAACAGTTTTCAACATTGTCAATAAATAAATTGTAATATTAGAAAAACAGTGTCAAAATTAGATGTAATTAGAGTGACACTGAAAACTTTTAAAATACATTACATTTTAAAAATATTAAAACAGTTGTTATATATTGTAATAACATTTCACAATATGACAGTTTTTACTATATTTTAAATTAAATAAATGCAGCTATGTTAAGCATAAGAGTCTTCTTTCAAAAACATTGTAAAAAATCGTACTGACCCCAGACTCTTATATGGTGGTGTATATATAACATTTCTGTTCCTTCTGCAAGCAAATTGTAATCATTTTAAGGCGGTTTACCCAGCTGAGCCTGTGTCCCATCACACATTTGTATGAGAGCATTCTCCTTCTTGTTGAACATGATTTTCACTCTCAATACATCCCCATATACACCTACAAAGAGAGACAGTCTCATGTCAGATACAAATATACAGCATGTTATGATCAGACACACCTCATCAAAACCAACCTGAGCTATAAAACAACTTCAGTTCACAATCAAGATACTCCATTATATCCCACCGTCACATGCTCTTCAGGGTACAAAAATAAATAAATATATATATATATATAAATTAAAACTAGTATCTAATAGCAATTTTATCAGGGGCTTAATTGAGTGAAAAGAAACTTGTTTTAAGAAAAGACTGAACATTTTCTTAGTTAAGAAAAAAAATGAGTTAAGAAGACAGTTCAAGTGGATCTGCAGCTTTTAGGAAATCTGCAAGTAGGGGTGTGCGATATTGACAAAAAATTATATCTCGATATTTTCTGGGATTTTATCGATAATGATAATTACACGATATTTTGCTGAGTGTGTTATTGTGCTGATATATTAAGAACTGCCGTGGTATGGTGTCTAAAACGTAAGTCTCTTAATTAACTTATTGTTTATTGAATTCAATGTCACATTTGTAATCATGGTACTTTTTGGAGAAAAACAGCACTCTTCGTGTGAAATTGAATAACTATATGAAGTGGTATAAATATATAAATTTTCTGCCATCATGTCTTGAATTTGTGATCATTCTAAATGCATTTTAATAGACTGAATCATGCAGTGAAAGAAAACACACTAAATGCGCACACGCACTAGTCTAGACTTCACGTAATGTATGCCTGCGCTCTGTAGGGATGTTTTGAATGGTTTTTGCAAAATACTCGATAATGTCAAATCGCACATCGTTAAAACAAAAATTACGATATTATCGCAGACGATATATATCGTACACCCCTATCTGCAAGGTTTAGTTCGTTTTTCGATCTCCTGAGGAACAGATTCAACGGATCGACTGAAATTAGAATCGAAAGATAACAAGTTTTGAGGGGGATGAAAATATTTTTAACCCAAAAAAGAATGAACTTATAAAACAGCAGGAGTCTTGACTATTAACCAAGTATTTTAAACAGCTTTTCTCCGAAGACATGCAATAAAAAAAAGGTAAAAGAGGAACGGTTTTCAAAAGCATGCAACATTTTACAAGGCGCCAATTTGCTTTGTTCCGTCATTAAAAAGCTGCAGCCTTCCATCTGCGTTCAAAGGAAGTGCTGCTGTTCAGGGAAAGCTGCAGCTTTTCATGACGTGTCTCATCTCACCACACCAAATACTGCAGAAAACAAGCGAGGCACTCAAAGAATCGGGCCTCACAGATGCCTTGTGAGGTAACAAAATCAAATTAAAAGAACAGAACAAACGAGTGACAAAAAAAGATGCTAAAGGATGACATACCGAAGAGAATAAAGAGGCAGTGGGGCGTAACTCTCTTTAAAGGACAGCAGAGGGGGGCAGCGGAGGAGGAAGAGACAGGTAAAGATCGGAGGCAGAGTGGAGGTTCAACATATCCGAGGCAGCGAGGCAGTTCCACGGGAAATGACGAAAAACGATGGTTGGATCATGAAGATGGTTAATGGATTGGGAGCGGAGAGAGAGAGGGAGGTGGGAGTGGGGGTGATAGAAGAGAGAGAGATGTTTGTGTGTCATGTTGGGGTGTGTGTGTGTGGGATGATGTTGAATCATGTAATTGTTCATACAGATTAGATGAGTAGAGACATATGGTGCGTGCAGCCAGATGGCAAAGGAGAACGAGGTTTCCAAAACAAAAAAAGAGCAATGGGATGAGGGGAATGGGGAGGGAGAGAAATAGGAGAAAAAAGGAGGTAAAAAAAACAAGGTCAGTATACATAAAGAAATACAAAATATAGTGCTAAAGTTAACAGAAATTTCATCAGTAAAACAAGCTAGTTATTGTAGTAAACAATGCGCTAATTTCAATGTGAAAAGTTTAAATGCACTTTCCGATGGTCTGTTTTACAATAAATACAAATAAAAGAACAGATCTTCTGAACAGACCAACAGAAAATACAATTTTGGCTATTTTACTGTGGTAATATTTGGAGGAGATGAGTGAAATATGAAATAAAGCAGCAACATATTCAAATGGAAGCAACAAGAAGAATAAAGTTCAACTGAATGGCATTTTTTATGAGAAACCTGAGGATGTTAGAGGAAGAAATTACACAGGGGTGAGGACACTTGAGCGAATAGAGACGGAGCTTCAGTTAATGGAAACGCTAAGCAATGGGCTTCTGTATCCTGTAATTACTACACGACAATAGATCATAAATGCACTAAATTTAAAGAAACACTCAGCAGTATTGCAGTAGTAACATCACCAGTCAATAATATCCATTTAATTCAGTTAATTAGGAAAATAACTGTGTGCCATTGTTTTAATTGTTTATTTTTACATTTTAATATATATTATACTTACAAAAAATGTTTTGCAAAAAAAAAAAAAAAGTGTGTTCCAACAAGTTTTTGCTGTGGCGCTTTAAATTATATTTATACCAATATTTTTACATTATAATATAAATTATACTTTTTGTTTGAAAAAAAAATGCCGTTCTTTAAATTTAAATTATTAATATTTATACTACATGTTATTCAATTATAACTTTACATAAATTGTTAAAAAAAAAATACAATTTTTTTGTGTTGCCACTGTCATTAAGTTATAAATATTTATACCAATATTTTTACATTATAAAAAAAAAAAACTGTCATTTTGTTTAAAAAAAAAAAGTTCTCATATTTTGTTGTAGTGCCATTGCCATTGTTTCAGTTTAAATTATTAATATTTATACTACTACAATTTACATTACACCATTTTTTTAATTAATTTTGTTAAAATGTGTGCTCCGTCAAGTTTTTGTTATGGTGCCACTGTCATTTTTAAATGATAAATATTTATACCAATATATATATATATATATATATTATACCAATATTAAGTGCTAATGTTTTAATATAAATTAAATATAAAAAATTAAAACTTATTTTTTTTTAAAGTGTTCCATTTAGAGTTTGCTGTGGTGCTATTGCTTTCATTTAAATGATATAAACAAATATATTTACATTATAATATAAAAAAATATATTAAAACAAAATAAAAAAGTATGTAGAGAATCATTGTGACTTTACATTTGATACAATTTCTGCTTTTTTCATTCATTATAAAAATGTAATATAAAAGAAAAAAAAAATAAGGATCATTAATAACATAATGGCACAATAGTAACATCAGCCATCCAAAAAAAAAAAATCCAAAAATTCCATGAGCTTGCTCAGACTTAATGTTTAAATAGACATCTTGAGCACTTCTAGGTCCATCAGAGACTGTGAACGGCTAACCTCAGGGTTCAGGTTGCTGACCAGCATGACGCAGTGGGTGCCGGGGAAGGAGGGGAAGCCCAGTCTGCTTGCAGCCGCAGCAGCCGCTGCTGTCCCGGGAATGGCCAGTGAGGCGAGGGCTCCGGGAACCCCAGGTATTGCAAACCCTGTTCAAGATGGAGTCAAATGTACACTATACACCACAAGACAAATTCAGACAAATATGAAATATAGAAGGTGTTAAACTAGCTGTGTGCCATCGTACCTGCAGCCTGCTGGATAGCAAAAGTTGGAGGGAAGGCGTGCGCTCCTGGATATGGCGTGGCAGAGATGATCCCAGGAGCAGCTGCAAAATACCAGGATGTTTAGACTTTCTAAAAGAGGCAGAATGGGACTATGCTTAAGAAAATAGTGTGCTGGGTGCAATTTTACACCCATTTGTACCGAAAGCAGCAGCCAAAGCATGATGTTCAATAGCGTGTTGACTGTCCCCAGTGGGCAGGTCCGGGCGAGTGTAGTCACGGCTCTTGTCGTTATTGTATTTGACGTTTAAGCTGGTAAGTTTGGAAAAGCTGATGCGCAAAGTACAGCAGCCATTGTAGATGTTCTGTCCATCTAGAGCCTGAGAAAAGAGAGATTTTAGTAAAAACGGTGCCACAAACGTCACATTCTTTCACAGTTTGCGTCAAGTCACCTTTATTTCTGTAGCGTTTTATACAATACAGATTGTGTCAAAGAAGCTTCAGCGATAAACAGGAAAATAGCAGAATTAATTATGGACAGTTCAGATTCTGCTGTAAAGCAGCTCTAAAAGACAAAAGTGTCATTATTTAGCTTAAGTCAGTTCAGTGTTGGTTCAGGTCAGATAGGGCTGCATGCTGAATTGTATTTTAATCATGATGACGATTTCTGTTTCTCTTGATTTACTAAGCATTAGAGATGCAGGGATCAGCTCAAACGTCACCCGAATCCACTGCTTCAAACAAATTACCGACCCGGATATAACCGCGATCCGCGCATCACTACTTAATAATCATCTGCGATATCTGCCCGCTGGTTATTTATCCTGAAGACATGTCATTTTCATTTGGCATTTGCTTTATCTTCCATTGGTACCAAGCCTCCACGAGGTTTCATATTTGCGGTTGCCAGATTTCAAGAATTAAAATCCTCCAATCAGAGCTTTTTCCTAATTCTGTACATTTTCTGCACAGTGGTTTACTTAATCTTCCCAACCAGGCAATCATGTGCACACGCTCTCTGATGGAAAACAAAGCCTAGAACGAAGTTTCAATAATTGTCATTACAGATCATGGCTGATAGATGGCGCTACTCACCAGCTTGGCATGTTGTGCCGTCAGGCCATCAGCAAACTGGAGGAGAGCTTGAAACTGGTTGTTTTTTGTGAAAGTGATCACTTTCAGCACTGTGCCAAACTTGGAGAAGATCTGTTGAGGAACCAAACATATTTTAGTATCAAATAACCATAATTGCCAAAGGCATAGTTCACACAAAAATGAAAATTGGCATCATTTACATACCTTCATGTCATTCCAAACAGGCAAGACTATGGTTAATCTTTCAAACACAAATTAAAATAATTGAATGAAACCTGAGAGGTTTCTGTCCTTCCATTGAAAGTCCAGATAACCAAAACCAAAAAGATCCAAAATGTTTATAAAAGCATTGTTTGAGCTTCCGTGCTTACCATTTTTGTGATGTGCTCTATGTATTTGTGTCTATTAATTGTTTAGATGCAAATAAAAACCTAAATTAAATCTGTTCATCATATATAGCGATTGTATCTCTTGACAAGACTTGGATTAAGCCACTCGATTCCTATGAATTTGTTTCACAACAACTCTATGAACTTTTTGGATCTTTAGAGAACAGAAACGTCTGAGGTAAAAATTTTACTTATTTAACATTTACTTTAATTTTCACACTTTACTTAAAGCCTTTTTATATAATTCATTATAAAAGTAGTTTTAATGCATTAATTATGCCGGTAACACTTTACAATAAGGTTCCATTTGTTAATGTATTAACTAACATGAACAAACAATGAACAATACATTTATTACAGTATTTATTAATCTTTGTTTATGTTAGTTAATGAAAATACAGTTGTTCACTGTTAGTTCATGTTAATTCAGTGCATTAATGTTAACAAGCACAACTTTTGATTTTAATAATGCATTAGTAAATGTTGGAATTAACATTAACTAAGATTAACAAATGCTGTAGAAGTATTGTTCATTCTTAGTTCATGTTAACTAAAGTAGTTAACTAATTAACCTTATTGTAAAGTGTTACCATTATGAACATTATGACTAACTTTGTAATGCATTATACATAAAGTCTTTAATTAAAGTGTTACCAAAATTTCCTAATTTATGTATTGGAAATTAACTAAAGTCTTAAGGGTTTGAAACAAAATGAGTGTGAGCAAATGATGACAATTTTTATTTTTGGGTGAACTATCACTTCAAGTAAGAAAAGAACAGCACTGCAGAGAACTAGAGGAAGTGCATACCTGGTGCAGGACATCTAGGGTCACGGGGTAAAAGAGGTTTTCAACGATGACCCTTAGGACAGGGCTGGGGCCAGCCATACCGGACGGGTCAATGGCACCTAGAGTCATGCTACCTGTCTGGACAGCATTCACCGCCTGCAGTGCTGCCTGTGCCCTCTGTAGACACCAAAAATGACATGCATTAGATTTAAATTAGCATTTTTTCCATTCCATTTTATTGATTTTACATCTATCCATATGCGTTTTTATGTAAATGCATGAGTAAAATTTGTAGACGGATTATTTTGAACAAAATCAAGTATGGAGTAAACTCTGTAGGCTACGTTTCTGTGTTTACTCAAACAGAACGAAGCAAAGCAAATTAAGCAATCCTCCAAATGAGTGCTGATGGGCTGCAGATGTGGAATTCACTGCTAAAGGCATTTAGCGGCATATAAACTGTGTTTAGAAAGGAAAACGGGCAGTGTGGAAAATGCAAAAAACAAGATGCGCAGAAGAGAGCAAACCAGACCCTCCGCTCATATCAATCGTCATGTGCACAGCTGCTGCAAATAACTCGTTAAAAATTTCTGCTGTCTTTATTTGCGTAAAAACATATACAAATGAATCACCATGTCAGAAATGTGGAATGAAGCCTCATAAAGCCCCATACGTGATGCATGTGCTGGCCGGGGATGGAAACTGAGAGAGAAGCACATACCACTTGGTTTGGTGAGTTGTCTGTTTTCAGCTCTTTGTGGTTTGAGTACTGCATGAAGATGGGATGATTTCTGATGACGGGCGTTACGGAGGAGTAATAAGTAACCATCGTCTGGGCTACTTCTTCAGTATTCATTTCCAAGAAAGCCTGCGCAAAAATGCAGATCATGCAATTTGCCTTAAGCCCGGAAAATGTTCCACGCAAGCACATAAAACAAAAGCTTCTACCTAAACAAGCTCAGTATTACAGACACTACCTGTAACAACATTCTTAACAAGACACTCACAAACAATAATCTCTAGCCAAAGAAATACTACAATCTGACAGTAACATGTCGCTAAGATAAACTCTTATTACTCAATACAAAAACAATAACGCAAATACTGGGGACTGTGGTAATATTTTCCAGTTTAAGTACAACTTATTAACTTTGTATATGAAAAATCCAAAAGTGTTTGGTGGACTAGGTTAAGTCAACCTTGTCTCCAGTGCTAATGCTGAGAATGTCATGAGTGGAGAGGGACTGATACCTGGTTCTTTCCCTTCAGCATGAGCAGGTTGGTGACTTTGCCAAAGGGAAGGCCGAGGGAGATGACCTCCGCTTCATTGATGTCATTGGGCAGCTTGCGGACATGTATAACTCTGGACGGGACGGCAGGACTTCTGATGTCGCCTTTGAACTTCTTGCTGTCGTTGCCGTTGGCTGCGGAGAAAGCAGATGATGAGGATGGATTGCTGGGACAAAACTAACCACATCTGAGAAGGAAATGAGTAAAGAGCAAATAGAGCCTACCTGCTGAGCTCATGATATAAGGCCCGCTGGAAACACAGGAGAACAGCTCGTCAGATCCTCTCTGAAAAAATAAAAATAATATAAAAAAAAATGCAATAACCAAAGAGAAAAGCTCTAGGTCAAACAGTGTCCAGCAACATGTCATTTTTAAAAGGTTTAGACAGTCAACTCAGTTCTGATGTTTACAAACTTAAACAGCACACTTGAAGAGGAAAACTATGTTGATAAACTAATCCAACCTTTAGCCTGAATGGATGTCCAAATAAGGACAAGTTTACATCAGAAAACTCTGAACGCAGAAAATGGACAATGTTACATTCAGTTTTCCTGTGCAAACAGCATAGCCTTAAGGGCGGGTGAGGTCAGAGATCAACCACAAGACATCCCCCATCAGAAACCTATGAAGAAAGATCTCAGTAGACCATGGGGAGAGGGGCGGTTTTACATTTCCGGGTCGTCAGCCAATGAGTGTCCAGTAGTGATGCGCGGATGGCGGTTATATCCGCGGGCGCTGCGGATAATCCGCGGATCGGGTGGGTCGGGTAATAAAAAATGCATTATGATTATTTGCGGGTGGGTCGCAGGTGGATAAATTAAATCATTAATGATGCAAGTATTAACTACATTTTCTAAATTATGAACGTGTTTTAAATAGGCTAAAGAAACTGAATCCAGACTATCTTGCATTTGCGCTTTCACATTCTCCTTTGTTTAAGGAAGGAAAGAACGTGTCCATGTGAAGGACCAGGACATTTATACAACTAAACCTCTGTGCATCAAACACCACATTTTAACCCAGCTTAAAGGCACAGTTCACCCAAAAATGAAAATTCTGTCATCATTTACCAACCCTCTACGGACACCTTGGCAATTGAAGCGCCATTGGCTAGTAAAATTTTTAGTTTACTCGCCAGACTGATATATATATATATATATATATACACACACACACAAATATTCTAATAAGAACAATATAAAATTCACTAAGGATTAATGAGCTGCTGGATTCATGAATATTAATAATGTTGTGTGCGTTCGCTCGAACTGATTTGCTGAAATCAAAACAGGGATGATAATAAGTGAGTGCCAGCCAATGAGATTGCCGTTTGCGCATTAGTCCCGCCCACTACTGGAGAAAGCGGCATTTCTTAAAAGCTGAAGAACTCCAAAGGAGCGCTGTTATTTTGACAGGAAAATACAACAAAGAATATCGTTTACATGTAGCGCGTCAATTCTCTCTCTCTCTCTCTCTGCGTGTGTGTGAGAAAGCTACGGCGAGCACTGTTACATTAGAGTTTATGGTACGTCAAATACAGGTGCACTGCGCATCCATCGAGATGAACTGAAAAATATCACAGATCGCTTGACGGAGAGTGAAACTCTGAAGCGCTCAGTCAGAGTGTTCGGCGAGTGAAAATATATCTGTGCTAAACTTATACTTAGCCTCCAACTCACACACTGGCGAGTAAAACCTGAGAATGTATTAGCCAGTGGCTAATATTAGACATCATTTAG